GACGAAGGTCGCCCCCGGGACTGGCTCGCCAACGAGCTCCACGAGCCGTCCCGGCGCGGCAAAATTGATGCGGCCTGCAGGGACCGAAAGGTCGCCGACCTGATCACTGCTGCCGGCGCCTCGGCGCCGGCCGACGCCGTGTGTTCCCCACCCCCATGGAGGACCTCTGAGGTCCTCCCCAGTCTCACCCCACCTTACCTCTGCCCCCCCCTCCCCCCATCCCTCTGCCTCCCATAGGGCAGGATAGCACTAGCATATGCGCCTAGTGCGCACACTGGGCCCACATAGATGTGACCCGCCCACTCGAGTGCGGCGCCCGGATGCTAGTGCTTGAGAAGACACCACAAACGCGGCACGGCCCGTTTTGGCTCTGGGCCGGCGCGGGGGCCCCAGAGGGTGTCCATTCCCATGGCCCGCCGCAGTCGCCGATTTTTTACTTGTTTTCATGGGATTTCGGCGAACTTGCGGCCATGCTATCACGCCTTGCGACAGCCTGTCGGCGCTGCTGACCGTGCCATGTTGCACAATTGATCAACTGCACAAGAGGGACCACGCACCTTCTCAGGACAGCGCCGGTGCCTCTCTCTTGGACCGGCAAACTTTTAGGTCTCGTGTCACCAATGTGGGACCAGTGCGGCATCGCGCCATCGACAGCTCTGAACTGCGCCTCACCACTGACCGGGAAGGCCGCCAAGTGGGCCAGCGCACCGGTCGCACATAAGATTGTGGCAGCAGTCAGCAGTGCATGTCTGATAGCTAGAGCAGCAGCGTCAGGGTCGCAGGGTCGGATCGTGTCAAGCCTCTCGCCCGGCCCCGGCCGCGTGCAGGGACGTGTCGGCAATGGTTGGGTAGTAGGGCTAGAGGGTCGCTCTACACTTAGCCTCTGCAGCGAGCGAGCGCTCAACTTAGCCCCCGCACGGAGCCGGGCTCAGACTTAGACGCTGGAAGGCCGGGGGCCATGAACTTAGACGACACGAGGCCAACTCCGGGTAAAACCCGGGTATACCTGCAAAAGTCCAGGTTTACCCGAAAAATACCTGGACGCGGTCCCGACTAGCGTATGCCGCGCACGACGCCATATCGCCGTCTCCCAGGGCCAGTGCGCTACTTGCGGCGCGCAACGCCTGCTCAAGTACGCGCACCGTACCATGTGCTGCCGCTATGCGTGCCTTAAGGCGGCTGCGGCGAAGCGGCGGGCGCGGCATGCCGATGGCAGTGCGGACGATGCGGTTGCGATGTGTTCTGCTTCAAGATCGTGGCGGTGCTTGGCATGCACTTCTGCGATCCCAATCAGCTCATCGCAACGAAGCAGCGCAACAAGCTGGCTGCTGCCAACAAGGCCCTATGCTACCTCACGCGCGGATCGTTCAAAGAGGACCAGCATACACAGGCTTCTCTGACATGCGTTTGTTTGAGCTTGAGGCTATTTGTGAGAACTATTTGGCTAGATGTCGCCGAAGTGCGCTCAAGAAGCAGCAACGAGAATCGGAAGAGGAGGATGCTGAGGCGGCGATTGCTGAGCATGAGGAGGATCGATCGCCCGCCGCGCAGGCGAAGAAAATTTGGGCGCGAGCGCCGTATATCGCGTGCCATGGCCGACTTAGCCGGTGTAAGAGGCTCCCGCTGATCTTAGACCGCGTAAGCACTCCAGCGTGGCTAGCCACACTTAGACCCGTTAAGCCGCGAGGCTCAGAACTTAGACTACTACCCAACCAGTGTGTCGGTAGAGGGTGCTCTGCCGCTGCTGCGCCGGCGGCTGCTGCGCTGGCCGCTGCTCCCCGGCCGGGCGCCCCGCGCAGCGGCGCACCGGCTGTCGGCCTGTCTGCTGTCTAGAGAGTGTGATCTGACATCTGTCGGCGGTCAGTACGACCGATCAGGTCGGAGTTTTCGGATGGTTGGAGGGTCTATCTGTGTGTACTCCTCGAGATCTCTCCAAATCTGCCCTCTGATCAACCGTGATCATTCGGGAAGTCGGTGCTAATACATCGAAACGAGACATCTCTCTTGCGGCGGGGCTGCTCGGGTTGCCGGGACACCTGCTCTCGCCAGCGCCGCGCACCGCGGAGCCATGCGCAGCCCCTCCCACCGCTGCACACGTACACACGTACACACACACACGCTGCCTAAAGCTAAGGGGTCGGATGCGCTCTGGCCTCTGCCGCGCCCGCAGAGACCACGCTCGCGGGAGGCTGCCGCCGCGTCCGCGGCCTGCGGCCACAAGGCGGTCAGATCTCGTCCTTCTCCGGGTTCTCCTTGGCCTCCTCGGCCTCGGCCTTGGCCTTCTCCTTGGCCTCCTCCTCCTCCTTGGCCTCCTTGGCCTTCCTCTCCTCCTCCTTGGCCTTCCTCTCCGCCTCGGCGGCCTCCTGCTTCGCCTTCTTGGCCGCCTTCTCCGCCTCGGAGCGCGCCGCGAAGGCCTCCGCCGCAATCTTGGCCGGCGCGGGGTCCGTCGAGATGAGTATGTTGTCGAACAGCGCGCCGTCCTGCATCGTCCACAGCTCGATGCCG